TCCTGAAATGCAGAAAGGGGTCCAGAAGGAAGAAATGGCACAGGCTCCAAGTGGGTACCTCCCCTTTGCACAGCAGACAACTTGCAATTGGGGAAGGGAAGGGCTGGGGTAAGGGCCAGAGTGAAACCTTCTACAGCCTGGCCTCAGGACAAGGGATAATTTACTTGGGTTAAGAACAATACAGTATTTTTCTTTTTAACCTCAAAGTAGTATCTTTACCTCCATAATCAGATAAGGAGACCTTGGAGGTCAACTCAAAGTTTGCCATTTAATTATGAGGTTAATGCCAGTAATAGTTTTTTACTGTTTATGCCCCATATGCTCTCAGGCTAGGAATGATTTCAGTAAGCATCAGGCAAATTCCTTACTGCTGCACATAAAATATGAAACCTCATGGTTCCACATGAAAACCACTCTTTCCTTGCTTTTCTATAGCATTTGGAAGGGTAACTGCATCTGTGGAATGAGCTCTTCTGAGTTAGTTATATTTGACAGAATTTGGGTCTGAAAATTAAATGTAAATGTGGGAACTTAGAAATAAGAGAAATTGAAAAACTTTTTACTTTATGGTTACTGCAAAAACACAATAAAGTATAGCCAGTAGGAGATGCAAGAGTTCCACCTGTGCTTAGAAGGCAATGAAATATGGTTGAGGTAGAACACAGAACCAAAAAGGTCTGAATAGCATCGCCTCCATGTACATCACATAGAAATTCAACGGCAAGGAAAGAGGAAAGATCCCTATTTGCATTACTCAACTATTACCCAAAATTAGTGGCATGAGGTAAGTAGAATGGGTAAAATGTTAGTGGGAAAGCTAATGTTGCATGGATTTTTACTGTATGGTCTGGGGGACTCAGACAAGTGGACAGATCTGTTATGGTGGAAACCAGTCACCTTGTTAAAACCGAATAACCACGTGTTTAGGAAAAGAACAGCATGAGACTGTTTGCCTTCGCAGTCATCCCCTGTGAACACAGAGAAAAGAGATGTCTGTTACAAGTAGAGAGGAAGACAAAGGCGCCTATTTGCCTATTTATAAACCAACCTGTGTCACAAGCCCACTTCGGATTTCACAATATAACCAAAGAAAGCTACTTTTTGAGCTATAGTTATGCTATATGCTCTGCAATATCCTTCATAATTTGAACTGGGATAAGTTTATATGTGAGTGTAGCATATATTTGCTCACACGTTTCTGTGTGATTTTTGTCCTAAAGAAAAGTGAATTTCACAGAAATTTATGGGCACAGATCATTCTTATTTCCAAATGAAGCCTTGATGAATATTATGATAGTGAATGAGATGTAGAAGATCATAGGTCTTGGATTTTTAAAAAATCATTGCCAAAGAAAGATACTAAAAAATTTCACTTGAAAATATAAATATTTATATTTCTTAATATAGAATAAACACTCTTCAGTGGCTTCTTGTTGCTTTTGGCAAGGAAGAGCTGCATGATCTAACCCCTTCCTGCCTATGCAGTCTCATTTTTCAAATCCCTCTCCACTCTTCTCTAGCCACATTGACCTTCTTTTTGTTCCCTCAAAACCTATCTCCCTTATGTCCATGCACAATGACTTATTCTGCCTCAGCTGATCCCTACGAATTCCAGTCTCAAGTAAAGTGTTATTTTGCAGGGACTTTTCATTTGACCACACAGTTAGCTCTTCTTACTGAGCACTCCTGTTAAATCTTGTAGTTTCTTTCTGTACAGTAATGAAAATTAATATCATAGGGTAATCACAACCTTTTCTTTCACAACTGCTAAAAATGTACTGGTTTTCTTATTCCACTTCTACCTCCAAGGAGGATTTTGGTCTATTTTGTTGAAAAAATGATACAGAGAAGATATCAGGGAGAGGGAAACGGGATACATAGAAGTAAAGAGGTGATGAGGCTAGAAGTCGAGATGCTTCATGGGTCAAAGGACTAAAGCGAGCAGCAGAAGAGGGGACTTTTGGAAGTGTTGCTTGCTTAAGGATAGGTATTGGTTTCCATTGTTCGATTGGAATTACCCATCAGCTCCAGGACTGCTTTCTTTGTAAGAATGCTGACACTGGATCACATTTGTGCTTGTGTAGCAGTTCTCGAGGTACATCGTGTTTATAATTATACAGCAGTTTGTGTAATTGTCTCCCTCCCCTCCCCACAAGGCCACAGAGGCAGGAATCATGTCTGTCATGTTCTGAGCTCCAGCTCCAGCACATAGGGCAGGTAAACACTCAAGAAGTGATGACTGACTACATGAATGACTGGATGAGTAAATGATTTTTTTTTTGACAGGCAGAGTGGACAGTGAGAGAGAGACAGAGAGAAAGGTCTTCCTTTGCCACTGGTTCACCCTCCAATGGCTGCTGTGGCCAGCACGCTGCAGCCAGTGCACTGTGCTGATCCGAAGGCAGGAGCCAGGTGCTTCTCCTGGTCTCCCATGGGGTGCAGGGCCCAAGCACTTGGGCCATCCTCCACTGCACTCCCTGGCCACAGCAGAGAGCTGGCCTGGAAGAGGGCAACTGGGACAGAATCCGGAGCCCCGACCGGGACTAGAACCTCATGTGCCAGTGCTGCAGGTGGAGGATTAGCCTAGTGAGCTGTGGTGCCAGCCGAGTAAATGATTTCTAATCTCTTCATATCAGCCTTGGGCTCAGTGATGAAATTATCCTCAGTGAAAGGTCTCTAGAGGAAGGTGTTCTGAGCTGGTTTCCAAATGCCTGTAATTAAAAACTTTTAAAATATTGTTGTTTTCTCACCACATTCCTGAGCTGTTAAGAGGTGCAGGGGTTGAGTACTGATATGATTTATGTAATCGAAGTGAAACTGCCCATATACTTACATTCTTTTCGAAGTATTTTAAGATCTTTGCTAAAATAATTTTATCTTGGTATAATGTTCATTCAGAGTTTCTTCAAATTGAAGAGAAAACTAAAGCCTGGGAGTATGTATAATTCCTGTCCCTTACTGAGAACTGACTTTAAGCCTAGCAGTGTAGTGCTTGTCATATTAAACACCTAAACAACATTTTGAGACAGGCATTACTCCCTAATTTTATCAACTAGGAACCTAAGGTTGGGTGACTTGCCTATGGCTTTCATGTTAGGAAAGAGTGGAGCTGGGATTCAAACTTGAGTCTGCTGATGTTAATGCTGTTGAGACACAGATTTTGTTTTAATTTTGAGGAATAAAGCACCTGATACATTAAGAGTTTATAATATCAGATATGATCTGACAGTCTTGCTCTGCCCTCTCTTTTCCAGAGATTACCTCTAACCCTTGTCTCCTGTCTACACTGCCAATTCTAGAGCTAAATTCTTTTTTTTTTTTGACAGGTAGAATTAGTGAGAGAGAGAGAGAGAGAGAGAGAGAAAGGTCTTTCTTCCGTTGGTTAACCCCCCAAATGGCCGCTATGGCCAGTGCTGCGCTGATCCGAAGCCAGGAGCCAGGTGTGTCTTCCTTGTCTCCCATGCGGGTGCTGGGGCCCAAGCACTTGGGCCATCCTCTACTGCCTTCCCAGGCCACAGCAGAGAGCTGGACTGGAAGAGGAGCAACCGGACTAGAACCCAGTGCCCATATGGGATGCTGGCGCTGCAGGTGGAGGATTAACCAAGTGAGCCACAGCGCTGGCCCCCAGAGCTAAAATCTTAATTACTACAGTGCCAGATGTAGAAAATTTGCATAGTTAATATACTTCCCAAGTAGTTGTGTTAGTTGAGTAACTTGGTAGAAGTTTATTTTTTACCTTTTTAAATTTTTCATGTATTTATTTGGGGAGGAGGGGACTAGCACACTCATCTGCTGGTTCACTCCCCAAATGCGTGCATGGTGGATTGGGGCTGGGACTGAAGTTTGGAGCTGCGAAGTCAATACAGAACCCAACTACCTTGAGACATTGCTGCTGCTTCCCAGGGTCTGCATTAGCAGGAAGCTGGAATCCGGAGACCAAGCCAGGAATAAGCCCAGGTACTGTCATATGAAAATGGGCATCCTAAGCAGTGCTTTAACTGCTCACCCAGAGGCTTGCTCCTGACATAACTTAAAGCAGCACAAACAATGTCATCCAGGAGTTCTTGATTTTCATTTCACGCTCTCTTCTAATCATCTGGTTCACCAACTGCCTGTTTTCACAAAAAATCCATTTTGACTTTTGAAATTTACTCCTTTGTGTTATTAGCCCTCCAGGTTCATCTTCAAATCTCCCTCCTCAAGGAAAGGATCACCAATTAATCTGTAACAAAAACATTTAAGTGTAAGGCAGCCATAAATTGGTCCTAGGAGATGCCATATTGCTTTATGTACACATGTGTGCATGCGCGCACACACACACACACAATGTCAATCCTCATTTGTGCTTTTTATATTCTATGATATTGGTGCAAACTCTAAGTTATTGAATACAGAACCTAAGAGAAATACAGAAGAAGGTTCCTTTGAGCTTCTGGTAACATTTTTGTCCACTGCTTTTGTTTCTTTCTGTGTTGTTGATTTATTAACATTGAACTCAGGGTCAACAGAACTATGACGCATGGCCAAACAATGCTTACCTAGCACATGCACTTTGTAAGGCATATCATAGCTTTTGTGCACTTAGTAGTTGGCACTTTAACACTTTATTTGAGGGCCATTTTAAACAATGTAATCGCCCAACAAGAAGCACACAAATGTAAAATTAAGAAGACTGAGAAAAGAACATTTGTTCACAATTTGACAACTGAGGAATGAAGGCAGGATGTCACTTGTTCAACTCAGTGGTGGGTGTGTGCATCAGGCAACTCAAATTTTTCACTATTTTGTGCGTGCCCCAAAATGGCCACAGAAGCCCTTGAATAATCATTGTGGAGTAGAAATAAATTTTGATGAGCAGGTGAATTTGTAAATATAAGCTGTACAATTAAATATGATTGATTGGCGGCAGAGCCTGCCCGGGCCGCTCGCCTCCGAGCCCTGCGTCGCCGCCGGCCGGGGAGGCGGCGGTGAGGAGGATGAGCCGCGCCCCCTTCCCGCGCCACGCGCCCTCGCCGTTGTCTGCGCTCCGCTCTGGACCAGTTTGAGGGAAGTTGCCCGGGCCCCGCGTCGTCCAGATGTGCGACCTCATTGAGCCGCAGCTGGCTGAAAAGATAGGCAAGATGAAGAAGTTGCGGAGAACTTTGTCGGAGAGTTTCAGCCACATCGCTTTGAAGAAAGACGATACTGCCTTTGATGAGATATGTGTCACCAAGATGTCCACACGGAACTGCCAGGGGATGGACTCAGTGATCAAATCCCTGGATACAATGCCTGAGGATAAAAAAGTCAGGGTTCAGAGGACACAGAGCACTTTTGACCCATTTGAGAAGCCGACGAATCAAGTAAAGAGGGTGCATTCTGAGAACAATGCATGCATTAATTTTAAGTCCTCCTCTGCTGGCAAGGAGTCTCCAAAAGTTAGGCGGCACTCTAGCCCCAGCTCGCCGACAAGCCCCAAATTTGGAAAAGCTGACTCATATGAAAAACTGGAAAAGCTAGGGGAGGGATCCTATGCTACCGTGTACAAAGGGAAAAGCAAAGTAAATGGGAAGTTGGTAGCCCTGAAGGTGATCAGGCTGCAGGAAGAAGGTACACCTTTCACGGCTATCAGGGAAGTGTCTCTGTTAAAAGGACTAAAACATGCTAACATAGTGCTGCTTCATGACATCATCCACACCAAGGAGACACTGACACTTGTGTTTGAATATGTGTTTCAGGATTCATACTCAAAACATCAACTACATCTGCCAATTACGTCAAGCTTCTAGCACACTGATTTATGTCAGTACATGGACAAGCACCCTGGGGGGCTGCATCCAGAGAATGTGAAGTTATTTTTATTTCAGTTGCTGCGAGGGCTGTCTTACATCCACCAGCATTATATTTTGCACAGAGACCTGAAACCACAGAACCTTCTGATAAGTGACACGGGGGAGTTAAAGCTGGCAGATTTTGGTCTTGCACAAGCAAAGTCCGTCCCCAGCCACACATACTCCAACGAAGTGGCTGCCCTGTGGTACAGGCCTCCGGATGAGCTCCTGGGCTCCACAGAATATCCCACCTGCCTTGACATGTGAGGAGTAGGCTGCCTCTTTGTTGAAATGATCCAAGGAGTTGCTGCTTTTCGGGGAATGAAAGACATTCAGGATCAACTTGAGCGAATATTTCTGGTTCTTGGAACCCTGAATGAGGACACGTGGCCTGGAGTCCGTTCTTTGCTGCATTTTAAGCCAGGTATGTTTCACTGACTGCAAATGCCTGTACAAGGGTGGATGCACAGGTGTTCCGCTCAGTCACACACTGCCTGGGGAAACCCTGGCTACTTGTGCCACTGTGTATCGCATCCATGCGTGGAGCTGCCCTTTCCATTTTCACAGTTCATTCGTGAGTCAGGAAGACAGACTCACTGACATCCCTCCAAGACGGTGTCAGCATGTCTACTTGGATTTGACTGCTCATGCAGGAATTCTGTGTCGTCATCAGTTAGCTTAGCATCCACGTCTGTCACGAATGATAAATTGGGGTACTACAATCTATCTGTGTCATGTCTGATAATAATATACTAGGAGAAGTTTCAAATTGTAAAAAAGGAAACCACATTTTATTGGAGTTTGTACAGCATTTGATGCTTTTTAAGGTAAAATATGTAAACCTCTAAACTGGCAATCTGAGAGAAAACGTGAAACTTTAAAAAAAAATATGACTGATTGTATATGTTTGCTACTAGTTAATACTTGTTGAGCATGTGCTAATGGAATCTCCTTGTGTGTGTGTGCGTGGTTTTTTTTTTTTTTTTTTTAAGAATCTAGAGTTTTCATTGGCTTTTTCAGTAACTAAAAGTTTTCATGATTCACGTCCATCTCCTCTGATGTATTTTGGGAAGAAGAAAGCTAGGTGCCTTCATACATCTTTTATCTAAAATTTTTTAGGTAATGGGTCCCTGTTTTACTCTGGAGTTTCAGCAGCAAATTATGGTAATAAAAAGCAAATCCATGCAGTGTTCTCTTTTGGCATTATGCCACAATGAAATCTTCCAAAATGCTGCCAAAAGGTGAAAACAATTTTTGGAAGATAGTTAACATTTTAATATTATTATAATTAAGACTTTTATTAACCTGTATAATACCCTGGAAAAAGGAAACTGTTCTGAAAGAAATTGGTTCTTGCACTGATTACATGGAAAAGGATTAAGTATTGTAGTACTTTATGTGAAATTTTTAGATAAAAAATAATTCTTTTCACGATGCTTTTAAAAAATCTATGTAACCCAAAGTTTTCCCCAATTTTAATTTTATCATCTATACATGAATCAGTGAAACATCCTGGCAGGAAGCAGGTAAGTACACATGAGTTAAATGGAGTAAATGAAGAGACTGTTTAGAAAGACATGAGTATGCTTATGGGAACCAACAAGAAATGGTAACCCCCTAAGGACTGGCATCACCGGCAAACTGTCGCAACCCTGAGGTCCAAAGTACAAATGGAGGAAGCAGCTTTGTAGGAGCTGGTGAGAGCTGTCGCCATGGCACAGGACCACTCAGCGGAAGTTCAGCCATATGTGGAGTAACACATGCATTTTCAAGCCAGAGCCTGACAGGGGGAGGAGGAAGTTAGATAGAAAGACATACAGAATGCTCCCCCCGATTTCTTCCTCCTTTAGCTCTTTCTGATCTGCTGACTGTGCTTCCTGTAAGGGAATAGGTCTGTAAGAATAATAATCAGTGCCGTGTATAAAAGTGATTACAGTCATTTGAACAGGTCCATATCTCAGTCTTCTTTGCTGATTAATTAATGCCTGTTGCAATCATTAGAATTATGATTGTGTTATGCATTAATATTCATAACCTGGATGCAGTTTAGTTTTCAAATGAAAATTTCAGATACATATTTCTAGTTTTAGAATATATTATCTACTTTTGGTTTTTGTTGTTTACTTATCCCTGAAAATGATAGTTTTAAATAGCCATGTTAGTATTAAACATAGCAGAGGTAGAAGAAAATTCTCCTAGTCTCCATGACTTGGCCACTAGGATGAATCTGTTGGGTTTCTAGCTTTGATCCCTTATCCTCCCACTTCAGGATGTTAACTAGAGATTGGTGGAATTAGTAATGGATGAGTGTTGCTATTTCAGGAAATTTTCCACAATTTCTCTGTCCTCAAATCATTCTGTCATCTGGTTTTTGCCATCACTTCCTACATGAAGTGAAATTCCCACCACTAGAGAACACTCTTTCGAATGAGAAATGAATGAGAAAATTGTATGCCCTCTTTCTAGAAGGAAGCCCATGGTGTGAACTAGGATGAGAGTGAGACCTATTTACCTTCTGTTATTACCCAAGAGTTTTATTTCCTTTCATAGGACTTGGTTTTCTTTTGGCAGGCACTGCATGATGAAGCAAATGTTTAGGGACAGGCAAGTTTTAATGCTTGAGACAGAGAGAATAAACATATATGACTAAGCCAAAATGAGTTGGCAGTGTGAGTGGCCCAAAGAGTTATAGAAAAGAAGACTGAGTATGATTTTTTTCACATGCATTATTACATTTTTCTTCCTTGATCCTTATCACCACCCAATGGATTAGACAGAAAATAGATTATTTCTTTGTTAAAGGGTCAAAGAATAAAAAACAAACCATACACAGCAGAGGTCCATGTAGGCCTTAATAAAAAAAAAAAAAAAAAAAAAAAACAAGAAAAATAGCCCAGTAGGGTAGGCCAAGAACAAGAAACAGTAGATCTTCCACATCATGTTTGTGTGGCTAAAGGTAGACCATTTTGCTTTTGTGGTTCATTTCCTTTTCCTCCTTGTAGATTGAAAACTCTGAGAAATATGCAGTGAAAAGTCCTGGAAATCCTTTTTTAAGAATTTGTGTAAAATATTTGTAACCCAGCTTTCTTGTCCTTTGAATTAAGACTCATCTAATGCTTATGTTTCTTTCTCTCACTTACCCAAAGTAAAAGCAACAAGAAAAGCCAGGGGAGTACTGGGAAAGAGTGTCACTGAGGAGAGTTGGAACCCAGGCTGGGGTGTGCTCAGGACCAGCCTAACACTCCAAGAGCCTCTGTTTCTTTATGCCTGGATTTTATTACTCTGAGCTCTCCAGAGGAACAGAACCAAAAAATAGGTAGGTAGGTAGGTAGGTAGGTAGATAGATATAGATAGATAGATAAATCAGAAGAGATGTGCTATGGGGATTGGCTCACCCAATTATTGAGTTTGGGAAGTCCAATAATATGCCAGAAATACCAGCAGTATAATTCAGTTACAGTGTGAAGGCCTGAGAGCTAAGTGAGTCAATGATTTAACTCCCAATCAGAGACCAGACACCTGAAAACTGGGGACACAGTGGAAATCCTGTAGTCCTAAGGCTCAAGAGCTAGGAGCTCTGATGGGCAGGGCAATAGAGGATGGATGTTCTAGGTCAGGAAGACTGAACAAATTCATGCTTCCTCTGCCTTTTTGTTCCATTTGGGCCCTCAGTGAACTGGTTGATGTTAGTGCCTACACACATTGGGGAGGACAAATATTTGTACAATAGTCACTTTATTGATTCCAATTCTAATCTCAAAGACCCTCACAGGCACAGCCAGAAATAATCTGGGCCCTACTAGTGGGGTGATCAACCACTCTGGTTTTCCCACTCTGGTTTTTCACTCTGGTTACCTGAAGAGCTTCCCAGAATGTGGGAGTTCTCACACTAACACCAGGAAAGTCCTGAGCAAGGCAGGATGAGTTGGTCACCCTGTTCTTCTATGTTCTCTCTTCCCACAAGCTAATTTCCAGCTTCCCATCTGTCTTTAGAAAGGATGAGTGTTTCTTCAGTAAGAACAATGTGCATTTCAGCTTTCATTGGGGGCCTTTTGCATGGAAAACGTGTATCTTTACACAATAGCTGTAGGTGAGGTGAGATGCTCATAGTGTGAGACCATATCAGGAACCGAATATGTTCTAGGAAATAGCAGATCCTACTTGAGGTTCAGGATGACAAATACATCAAGAGGCATGGTGATGGAACTGCAGGTATTGTGTAAACTGCTATCTTCTTAATACCCCTAATCTTCACTCTACAGGCATGAAAATCTAAATTCACATAAGTTAACTCCCTCCACTGAAAGAGGCAGCAGGGTATCGGAAAGACTGACCCAGCAAAGACTTCAGTGAATGAGGAGAGCGCTTTGGAAGTGAGCAGTTGTTTGGAATAAGCATAACACAAAAGATCAGTTTTGGCTGAGCCTCCAAAGCTGAGAATAAAGTGGGGACTGCTCAGTCACTGCCACATACTAAAGGAGATACTGAGTTTCCTGTCCAGGACATGCTACATGGAGGTCAGGGAAGCTAGGAGTGAAGATTGCTTTGGGGTGATTGTGAGGTGAGTAACCAGTCTTTCCACAAGAGAAAGGTTGTACAGTTCACATTGTGGTCTAGGTGAGAGAGGTTTTAACAAGCCCACCTGGGTCATATGTCCCCTGGGGATGCATGCATAATGACACTAACCCACAACTGACAAGGCTAAAATAAAGAGCCATGAACTTACAATCACTTTAAGGCAAAGATGCATGAGTTTTCCTGTGAAGCAACTGAAACCATTGAGCTTAGTATAGGAGGGTAGACTCAGTGTGGAGTGAACTTAGAAGTCTTTCTGCCAATGGGCTGGATGGTGATGGAACCCCTACAGAGTCTGAGGTGAATTGCCAAGTGCCCAGGGGGGTAGAGTTGTGGTTATTAGTGACTAGCCATAGCAAAAGGCTCCTTCATGTAAAAACTGTAAACTCCTGAGAAAACTCCAAGACCACTCTGTTAGAGAAAGTGCCAGTTCTAGCTAACTGCCAAGCCCAGAGCACTCCAATGCCAGAGCACAACTGTATGAGCCAGGAAGATCATTATTGGATACTCTTCTCTAGTGCAGGTCTTGGAAGGGCAGGGCTGCTGACACACAGGCTGGGACAGAAGGAGATGAAGTTAGGAGGCGGGTAGGGTAAAGGCTGATCATTCAGTCCCCTCCTGCCCTGTCCACCACACAAAGCCTTCTCAAGACTTTTAAGCTGGGATGGAGGAAAGTTCTAAGATGAAAGTTGGAATTGATAATTTTTATACTGTTGGACATTTTATTTGTTCAAATTTAATTTGTTGCAACAGAGGATATTTGGAGTTATCAAGAAAATTATGAAAAATGTATAGGTCTAGTTTAAAATTTCATCCAAGGGATAGGAAAAAGCATGTTCTTAA